GGTAATCAAGCATTGGAACAGCCTACCCAGAGAGGTGGTGGATTCACCATCCCTGGAGGTTTTTAAGCAGAGATTGGATGTGGCCCTTAGTGCCATGGTATAGTAATTGGAGTTGGATCAGGGGTTGGACTTGATGATCTTGGAGGTCTTTTCCAACCCAATCTATTCTATGATTCTATGATTCTATGATTTCTGTTTATCTAGCTATATATTTATGGCACTTAATTACAACATGGCCTCTGCAGACCCTGCCAGAGCATCTTCCTTTTCTCTGCCTCTCTGCTATTTGTCACTGGATTCGATTTGTTTCCTCTTCCCTTCCTTTATGCTGAATCACACCATACATTTTGCACAAAGTGAAAAAGGCAGGAGGGCATTTTTCCAGGGCCTGGAAAGATCCCAAGGGCATTCTGATCATGTTATAAAGATCAGGAGTCTACAGTGCAAGCAGCAGTAAAGAGAAGTATTTGCACTGGCAATAGAGGTATTAATGTGCAGGGGAGCTAATACATCTGAGAGCCATCAGAAGCAGATAAGTAAGTTCTACAGCCCTTGTTTCAATACTGAAGTGTCACCTCAAATGGTTAAATAATCCAAAAATACTTTTGAGCCTCAGAACCTCCAAGTCTTGAAGTTCAACTTTCTTCATTACGCAAATACTTGTGTCATGACTGAACATCATGTTCTCCAAGGCGGTAAAATGTAGTTCCACAGAGACTTGTTTTCTTTTGAAAATTAGGGGAAAGAAACTTTTACTTGGAAAAAAAAAAAAAAAACACACCAATATGTGCTAAGGAACATTAGGTTAGCGACCTCCAGTGTTGGAGCATGTGACCTCACTGTATTTATCCCTTTCTGGTTGCTACAGGACTAGATTGAAAACTCATCTTAGGAAATGAAGTAATAATAACACTACTGACCAGTAACAGAACGGATCAGATTCCAGGTCTTCACAAACCCTACCCCTCACCTACACCTACTTTTCCAGAAGGTGAAAGTATGTTCTTAAAGACCAAGCACTGGAAATCATTCTGTACTCTATTAAAAAGCTGCTGAGGCTGGAAGTCAGGCTCTTTGCGTCCCACAACAGCAGGACCAAAGATCACAAACTTAGAAAAAACCTATTGAAGCATCTGTGCTCTTTCACTGACACACAAAGATTCATATTTACCAAATGGAATTACTTACATTTTGGGTAGCCTAAGAAATAATGGCATGAGCTGATGAGTCCCAGAGACCAGTGACAGCCTCCTGTGTGGGTAGGAACATGTAATACAGAGAAAAAGTTGTGGCAAATAGTCACTGGGTTCCCATTCAGTTTGTAGGATGGATATTTTCTAGGATCACCCTAGGAGAAGGGGCATTGCCCAAGGCAGGCTGGAACTTCAGACCTTTGAATGCTACACTTTCATACTTCACACCACTTGTTTCCTTTCCTTGCCACGTATGCACAGGCTGATTCACTCTAGACCTGATTCTTTAACACCCTTTCACTCAAGCTGAGCTTCACTCACTCACATTAACAGCCCCATTTAGCATTTAGATGTGAAACCATGATGTGTCATAGAGATGGCAGGCTTGGATTGCTATAATTACCCTTCACAGTGATGCATGAGAGCTTGAGACAAATATACACATCACACCAAGCCTATTGTAGCAGGGTGGGTGTCAGTCTCTTCTCCCAGATAACAAGCCATAGGACAAGAGGAAATGGCCCCAAGTTGTGCCAGGGGAGGTTCAAAGTGGATATTAGGAAAATATTCTTTACCAAAAGGGTTGTCAAGAGCAGACTGCCCAGGGCAGTGGTGGAGTCACCAGCCCTGAGGGACTTAGAAGATGTGTAGATGTGGGACATGGTTTAGTGGTGGGCTTGGCAGTGCTGGGTTAATGGCTGGACTTGATTACCTTAGAGGTCTTTTCCAACTTAAATGATTCTGTTACAACCTTGGGCCATTTTAAACTGACAGTTCCCTTTCTGAGACATGCAAGTGAGGTTTTAACACACAACAAACGCCAGGCTCCACAAGGCAGAGTCTGCAGGGGAGGGAAGGCAGGAGCAGGAAAGCCTCATTCTGGGTGTCCCCAAAGCAGGCCATTAAACTGAGCATTGGACACAAAAACCTGCAATACATGGGAATTCAGTTTCTTTCCTCATTTGCAATTCTCCATAGCACAGTATTTATTTCTCAATACATGACCCTGCTTTTTCTTCCCCTTACTTTTCACTATAGCATTTTTCTCTATATTCTGCTTCACATTTACCTCCATTTATTTCCCCACCAAACGGTGCACTGCATCGTGATGACACAAGCATCCTTCACTTAGCCCTGCATCTTGCACACTCTAATTTATTTAACAGCAGCTCTTCAAAACACACTATCCACCACGCAGTTTTCTTGCACTCCTTATCTCTTTAGTCAGCTCAGATGTTGCATACTTAGCCAGGAATTCAGTCATTTGAGATGTGGGACTTAAAATAGTAACCTAAAGTCTTAGATATCCTCATAATAGAAACAGTATCTACTCCAGAAAAAGGGACGTTGTAAGAAAAGCAGCTTAACACCT